CTTATTCTCTTGGAGGTGAACTTTTGTAGTGGCAATGGTGGTGGTTATCAACTTTTCTTATTTTTCTTTTTAGTCTTTAGTCTTTTATTTTTCTCTACATTTGATTTGTATTGATTTAGAAAAAGCTTACGATAAGATTACTAGAGAAATCCTTTGGAGAGTTCTTGAGAAGAAAGACGTTGATATGACTTATATTTAAGTCATTAAAGATATGTATACTAGAGTTGTTACTTGTGTTTGAACTGAAGGAGGATTGACCAAATATTTTCCTATTTATGTTGGTTTACATCAGGGATCGGCTTTAAGCCTATATCTTTTTGCTTTAGTTATGGATGATCTTACTGGACATTTACAGGAGGATGTACCTTGGTGTATGCTTTTTGCTGATGATATCCTTCTCGTGTATAGGATGAGAGAAAAAACTCAAGAAAAACTTGAATTATGGAAATCTACATTGGAGTCTAAAGGCCTTCGTTTGAGTAGAACTAAAACTGAATATATGGAATGCAAGTTTAGTACAAGTAGCTCTAGTGACAGAAATGTAGCTTTGGGTGATCAAATTATTAGAAGGTGTGAACAATTTAGATATCTTTGGTCTGTGTTCAAAGTAATGGTGATACAGATGGGGATGTTAATAGTAGAATTTAAGTTGGTTGGTTGAAATGGAGGAATGCTTCGGGCCTTTGGTGTGATAGAAAAGTATCGCTTAGACTGAAAGAGATTGAAAGAAAAATTTTGTAAGATGATGGTGAAACTTGCGATGCTCTATGGTGCTGAATGTTGTCCTTTAAAAGAGAAGCATAATACTAAGTTAAGTGCTGCTGAGATGAGAATGATTAGGTGGATGAGTGGCTTTATACTTAGAGACAAAATACAAAATGAATATATTCGTGATAGGGTTGGTGTAGCTCCTGTGACAGACAAAATTAGAGAAAGTCGTCTTAGATGGTTTGGTCGCATTAAACGTCGACCATCTTGATCCGATTAGGAGAGTAGATGTTTAGATTCGACTTATGTTAAGAAAGGCAGAGGTAGACCTAGGAAAGCTTGGACTTATTGTGTAAAAAATGATCTTAATTTCTTAGAACTAAATGAAAACATGACACTAAATAGGACGCAATGGAGAAAAATGATTCATGTAGCCAACCCCCCTAGTGGGATTAAGGCTTTGTTGTTGTTGTTGTAGTAGTAGTAGTCTTTAATGTTTTGTAGCTTGAAGGACTCCATAGCTTTGAGAGTAGACATTCTTTCTTTTTCTAGGGTATCTTTAGGGGCAGATTGGTGAAACACCTCTTAAAAAGAATTTTTTCATTACAATTTGTAGGTTTTTTTTTTTATTTACTATAAAATTTTGATATCATTACCAATTGAAATATTGACCTCAACTATTGGGGTTTTTTCATGAGCTGGGAATTCTGGATGATTTATTTGATGACATTAGCTTGTCTTTTGATCTTCCATGTCATGTTTTTGCTAGATTAGAGAGGCTAATGTGGTTGGCACGGTGTTACTAATGAGTTGCATCTATTGTGGAAGGAGCATGCTGGAGAAGAAGGCTGCCATAGAGTCAAAACGTTAGATAGCAAGTCCCTTCTAGTCATGGGCGTAGCCACAATGGGGTTCCGTGTCCCCACTGATTTGACCCAAGCCATAGTTTTGCAGGCCTCATTTGATCCCAATTAATCCAGATTCTGAAATTATTTCTTAGTTTTAGTCAATAATCAATCAAAATTCTCAAAAATAAATTTGAAATCTGATATAATATTTTACTGCTAATAATCTTAGTGAAATTCCCCTTAACCTTTAAGTCACGTTGAGCCGTCACTTCTGTAATTGCCAAGCTATGTTTTTTTTATTTAAAGAGCAGTACTATTTTCTAATTTCTCGATGAGATATTAAATGGTGAGTTGGTGACTAAAAGGTCCAGAGACATTTTCATATATGCCACCAAATTTCTATGTATTTGTATATCTAACACCTACACTTAGTTTTCACATTTAGAGAACCCAAATATTCACATTACATCATAAAAAAACACTATTTTAATTTTTTTAAAACTGAAATACACCCTTTTATGCATAGATAAGATGACATATATGCATAGGTAAGATGAGATATATGTTAAACTTCAAGTTTAGGAGTTATATATGTAAATACATGGGAATTAAATGGTATGCTTCTAAATCATCCTAAACAATAGACAAACAAGCAACTCACGTTTATGCATTTTTTATTTTGTTTTATTTCTTTTATACTTTTATTGTCTCAAAATATACTTGTATTAAATAAAAATGCTATATTTTTTTTTGAGAAATTTGGGCAAATTTATATGTTTTTTACTTTAATAATATGAAAATTCTTTTAATCTAAATTATTTTTAATATTATTACATTTAAATTAATTTATATTTTTTTATAATTTATGTTAAATTATATTTTAGTTATAATTTATATTAAATTTTAAGTGAATATCAAGCTTTAATCAATCATTTTAATAAGTTTACTCTTAAGCTTTAAATGACAATATTTTTCTTTTTTTCTTTTTTAATTATTTTTTCAACTATTTTATTTGGATAATATAAAAAAATAATTTTAGTTAGTTTTAAATCATTTTTTTTTAAAATTAAATTGTTTTTTGTTGTTATAATTTATATTTAGTTTTTAACTCACCCTTATTTAGTACTTTACAGTATTGATAAAAGAATAAATTTATATTTCTTATACATTTTAAAATATATGATCATGAAATAATGTTAGAAATAAAAAAAAAATATTTAGGATGTGCATTTATATAAACTCTTAAGTCTTATGTTTATTGAGTTTAAAAGTTGCTAAAAATTTTTCATTTTAAAATATCTACTAAATTGATTATAGTGTTAATAATAAAATGATTATACAACTCTTTGAAATAATATTTTTTAATATTTATGGCGATATATTTTATCAGTTTATATTAAAAATAAAAAAGGTCAAATTGTCAATATTAGTTTCATGTCTGGATAAAAAAATGAAGCTATTTTTGAAATTATCAATTTCTGTGTCTACTGGCAAGATTCTGCCCCTACTTGCGAAGGGGCATGGGTGACAAGTGATGGCATGTATGGAGAAATGCGTGTTGTTTGCTTGCACACTGGGGGAGGACGACCACACATGCAGGATAACTAGAAGGCCACACAATCTCATGATTATGTTTTGTGCACTGGAATGCTTGCATGATGAACATCAATAATGTTAGGGTTCATCATAAAAGTGGGTGTTGGACTTAGCGTGTTATGGAGAGATTAAAAAGAGTGTATAGAAATATGCACATTGCAATAGTTAATGGATGCATGAGGGGGGCCATGCCTAATTTTTTTATTTAGATTTAAAATTTTGATGGATAATGTGAAGATGGGAAAATAGATATTTTTTTTAGATTTAAAATTTTGATGGATAATGTGAAGATGCAAAACCTATGCACCCAATTTGGAGTTACTTGTGCATCCAATTTTGGATATAGAGAGCACTGAATTAGACGAAAGTAATTCTGTGCATTCATTAATATTCAAATGCACATCATGGAGCGCTATAGAAATATGATTACAAAGATAAGGACAAACATTTAAATGCAAGTTAATTTTATCTAATTCCAAGAAAGTTTAAATATAATCCTATTCTAATTTCAAAGAAGATAACACCTAATAAAATAATTCAAAGTAAAAAAATAAAATGAAATTTGGTCAAGGTCTAAAAATGCTAAAATAAACGCCCTAATCTGATCTGTTTTTGTCTGATCTGACTTTTGGTAATTGGTCTAAGGCCCGATTGAATTATTGTGGACTGTTTTCGCCTTGTTGAAGGGCTATACTACGCCATTCACTTATGTAATTCTAGGATACACTTGGTTTTATGATATTTGTGATACATATCTCTAGAATATATATTTCTAATCATACTTCAACATAAATAAATTAGGGCGCAGTCATAACAGCAGAAATAGGTTTTTTCTTGTAAACAAGAAATTCAAATGAAACAAGTCTTGAGATTTCTCACCTATCAGTGGGCTGCCATAGCTCCTCTTAGGAATCCAAAGAACATAAAGAAAATTAAATTGAATTGGTTGAGGTACAAATACATAAAAGTTAGAAGCATCTAAATGATTGTTTAGTAATTCTTTTTAAATACTTTGCTTTAATCTGAAATATCTCATCATTGATTTTTGCGGAAATGTGCTCATAAGTGCTGAATTCTATGACACTTCCTCCTTGTTTTTCATGATGATTGTCAACATATGTTGAACAACTTATCCATATGTAGTAATTCTTTTTAAATACTTTGCTTTAATCTGAAATATCTCATCATTGATTTTTGCGGAAATGTGCTCATAAGTGCTGAATTCTATGACACTTCCTCCTTGTTTTTCATGATGATTGTCTACATAGGTTGAACAACTCATCCATATCTCTCAGTGTGGAAGTGTTTTTTCGTTGAGCAAAATGACACAGCGTGACAACCACATAGTATTATCGAGCTGGCCAAAACTTATTGCTGAAACTTCAAACCATAATCAAGTCTTTGTGGACTTTTCTTGTAGAAAAGTTAGCATTGATGTTGGCCATTATTATTTTTTTTAATTTTTATCTTTTCATTACAATTCACAATTTTTTCAGTCATTTCTATGTCAAAGTCTTGAGTAGAATGTGTTTGGATGTTTTATAGCAATATTTTGTTTTAAGCACTTGTTAGAGATGCCATTGTTGAAGTAAACCTTCATAGATATTTCAGTAATGATTAAGACATGATTTGTGGCTGGTTAGCTTATGCAGGTTTGATTGTTAATTCTGCCTTTATTGTATGCTTTTTTTCCTCTATCTCTTGTCAAAAGTTTCATATTGCAAAGCATAGTTTTTCTCTCAATAATCATGTATTCATATATCTTATTAAGAGCTTAGTGACTCTTGAGTTGCTCGTGCTTTATGTGGCCCCTTTCTTCCTGTTCATCTTATTTTGATAGTTTTACAGTCTGCAAAGCGTCATTTATCTTCGAAGATTGATGTGGTTGACCATAGCTTGGATGAGATGAAAGAACTTAATGCAGCCACCAAAAATGAGGCATGTGTCTTCTTTTTTGAATGCATTGCGTTCCCAAAAGTATCTTTAATGAAGGTTTTGCTTAAATGAGTTGGCGGATTAATAGGTTATGCTATTACATGGTGATGCTGGTCTAGTTCATATGGATGTTGATTCTATTACACGTGCTGTCAGGAATCTGGTGAGTCCATCGTACGATGTTTCTGAATCAAAATTTTTTAGAATATACAGTAATTATCTCTAGTGCACGCCAGGAGTCAAAGATGGATCAGATAGATGATGGCCAGGTATTGCCTGTCATTGAATTCATCACGTGCTGGTTTTTTTAGGCAGATTTTTTGTCTCTAGTTTCTCCGTGCAAGCCACAATTGACAAACTTTTAAATTTTATACCAGAATTTTGCTGGCAGGGGATTATATGCACTTTGTAAGTTTGCTGAAGGTTGGCAGCTGGGAATGAACAACGAATCTATTTCGGTCAGAAAAGTTTCAACCATACTAATTTTCTTTTTCACATGGTTTTTATGTGCTGAAGTACTCATTTAAGTTTTGCCATGCCTATTCCCTTAGTTTTATTGAACGGGTGAGCTTTGTTGATTAAACTTTTTGTTTCCTTAAGAATTTTTATGTAACCTTGTTGATATTGTGCTGGATACTTATTCAATAGGTTAGCGAAAGAAAATAATTGGGAATTCTAATCTGGTTCGACATTAATTATTTATGGGGCTACATGAAGTATCGCTTGGGATCATCATCTATTCATATTGGCTGTAAATTTTCTTGAAATAGCATACAGTTCTTTTCTAATTTTCTTTTGCATTGAATAGCAAAATTTCCATAAACCTTCAATATCTCATCATTGATTTTGTGCGGAAATGTGCTAGAAAAGTAATTTTCTTTTGCATTGAATAGCCAAATTTCCATAATCCTTCAATATTTCATCATTGATTTTGTGCGGAAATGTTCTAAAAAAGTGCTAAATTGCACGATACTTCCTCCATGGTTTCATGATCATTGCCCACATATGCTGAAAAACTTATCCATATCCATGAAAAAGTGTTTTTTCTTCATGTAAAATGACATAGCCTAACAACAACATAGCCAACTCGTTGTGGACTTTTCTAGTAGAAAAGTAGCATTGATATTGAGCATTATTTAAATTTTTTTTTAAAATTTTCTTCCTTACAATTTACATTTTTTTTTTCATGTATATCTGCCAGTCTTAAGTAGGATGCTCTCCAAAATCCTCTAAAGTCTGGGTCATAATTGTGTTATTGACTCAATTTGCTGTCATAAAGGAGGGTTGCAGGGAACCTTCAACACCTCCTCTGCCTTGCTCTATTAGTGGCCATTTCAGAACAACCAACAAATGAGATTTTTATGGAAGAGATTGGCAGACTTAGATGATTCAAGAAGGAATGAGGCAGAGACAATATCAAGAGGGAATGAGGGAGGGAGGGAGGGAGGGAGGGAGGGAGATTCCTATATACCTAGGAAGAAGTAAGAGAGCTGTCTATTGCTCTGGAATCAAACTCCTTCATAATTTGCCAAGAAGGGCTTACATCTCTTATTTATTTTTTCATATGGGAAATCCTCCTATATGACCTATTTTATAAAGGAGGGCTCACACCCACCTTAGAAGGTATCTTAGGTGATACATCTCTTAGCATGTGCAATTCTTTCCATAATGATCTTCATCTTTTGGCATGTATCCAGGCTCCCAATTCAGTCTTCCAATTGCGCATTTTTTTTTCTGCGCAAGTGATCACATCTATAGGGTGTTCTTTTGATGGTATAGATGTACTTTTGACACCATCGATGATGTCTTTTATTGATGATGTCTTTTATTATATTCAGACATTGTCCCCTTGCATATGTTGAAATCTTTCTTAACTTTCTATTAGATGGGCCACATATCCTTTACCAACTTTTATGATGTCTAACTTTTTATTGTGGTAATCCCAATCTCTTTCTAAGCCGGACTGAGCAAATTATGTAAATTGCAAAATATTATGTAATAATTTATATAAAATAAAAATATAATATAAACATAAATTGATAGAGTCATCAAACTAACATAAAACATGAAATTAAAGTAACATAAAATATCAATGTAAGACATAAAATATGTTTAGCATAGTAGACATCTGTCACTCCTATTATCCAACATAATAACATTCATAGATCTAAATAAGAACATAATAAACAACCAAAAGCCAGAATAATAAACGACAGTGGCAGTAACAACAATAGCTGGCAACGACGGCACTAGAAGCAACTGACGTCGTCCACAACAGAAGTAGCTAGTTGCGGGAATAACAATAGAAGAGACGGTGGCGACAACATCATCCAAAGTAGCAGGCAACTATAACAGAAACTGGCGGCGACTGCTATAACATAAGCAGGCGGCGGTGACTGCTATAACAGAAGCAGGTGGCGGCGGCTATAGTAGAAGCAAGAGGCGACAATTCTAGCACAAGCAAGCGGCGATAGCAACCATGACGACAATGGTAGCAAGCAACGAGAAAAAGATGTAGGGAAGCTTCACTGAGGAGAGGGGAGCTCCTGCGCAAGAGTGTGGCTTCAGTTTGTATTTAAACCATCTATTATATTGGAAAAAAATTAAGGGTGAGGAATTGAGCTGAGGCACAACTTGACCATTGTGAGGCGTATGTCTAGCCCGAGCTGCTTGAGGCATACTCCTTAAAGTGTTTTTCTTTGGAATTGTTGCTGAGGCGGGCTTCAAGGCGCACCTCAGATTGCACAATTTCAAAAACAAGACTCTTAATTTTTACTTGTCTTAGAAGCACTGTCTAAACATAACTTAACACATCTCTGACCGATATATATACCTCGTCGGTACAACGGGACACATAATATGTCTATTATTGTCTGAGGTGGAAATTTGTGTACTCACCCATGACCAATATTTTTTATCGGTACAACGGTCTGTAATCTAAATTACATGATTGTTTGATGTGATAGAAAAATATCTAGCTGCACGGGTATATTGACGTCTCCAACAAGTACCATAAGAGATTGAATTCTTTGTCTTTGCAAGCACATACAATCATTCATATATATACTATGCTCATTCTTCATAGCTTGCATTCCTTTCTTATGAAATATTTTATATTTATCTACCAATGAATAAAAGTTATTCTGACATAATCTAAAAGGTTATGTAACAAGCTAATGTCATTGTATAAAAAAATATAACTATTATGTCACTATTTATACAGAAAAATTTACATGCATGTTTCATGCCTAACAATATTGAAAATCAATTATAGTTTAATCTCATTGATATAGAGCATAAAAGTGAAAAATAGAAATCAAGAATATATTCAAAAGAAATATTACTATAAGTTGGAAACATAATTATTCATCTCTATCTTGTTTGTCTCGTTCTTATTAAAATCTCTTTTTTTTTGCCCCGCCCATCCACACGCACACACATATTATTAATTAATATTTACTAATTTATCTTTATCTTCAATTACCTAAAATATTTTTCAATTATCTCTACAAATATTTTATTAAGATCTAAACAAAATCTTAAATTGTTTATTTTTGAAATTTTTATGCAGTTATTTGGGAGGGGGAGAGAGATGAGAGAGAGAGAGAGAGAGAGAGAGAGGGTGTGGGCGGGCTAGGGATGTATAAGCATCTTAATGAAATAAAATTCTTTAAATGCCAGCATGATGTTCACCAAAGCTATTGGTGCACTCCCTCTGTCTTTCCTTGTTCTTATTGTAGAAGAAGTGAATTAGAGCACTGGGTGAAGATGCTCATATATTTATTATGTTTTTTTTTTCAACAGTTAGAACATTGAATTCAGCATATTCTTTTCTACTGCAAACTAGAATTTTGTCTGTGTGGAGCCATTGCACCAAGGCAACTTTGGCAAATTGAGGGTTCAAGCTTTGATATCCTAGTCATTTCTCGACTAAATTGAGCCACAAACTTCTTTCCGCATGATGTTCACCAAAGCCATTGGTGCACTCCCTCTGTCATTCCTTGTTCTTATTGTAGGTCTTAGCTGGTTCCCAAGATGAAGAAGTGACTTGGAGTACTTGGTGAAGATGCTCATATATTTAATTTGTTTTTTTCCTCAACAGTTAGAGCATTGAATTCAGCATATTCTTTTCTACTGAAGAAGTGACTTGGAGTACTTGGTGAAGATGCTCATATATTTAATTTGTTTTTTTTCTCAACAGTTAGAGCATTGAATTCAGCATATTCTTTTCTACTGCAAAGTTGAATTTTGTCTGTGTGGAGCCATTGCGCCAAGGCAACTTTGGCAAATTGAGGGTTCAAGCTTTGATATCCTAGCCATTTCTTGATTAAATTGAGCCACATAAGTGCTTAGGGATTCACTCTTTGTCAAGTCGAGGGGAGTAAGATAACTCTCTTTTTAGTATTTGGGAGCTCGGGGAATGAGTTAGAAGTTGCTTCCTTAATTCCTTGTATGAGGGGATACTTGAAGGTTAAGAACCATCATTCAAGTCAGTAAGGAGGGTTCTACTCTTGATCTATTAAGACAACATGGAGGTAAATTATGGCGTGAAATCTCATTAGTGCTTTTGTCCGTTCGCTAAACCTTTATTGGAATCTAGTTGAGTGATTTATGTTTTAGAAAGACATTTTCCCTATGGATTTTGTCTGTGGAAAGAGATGCTGGCTGATGACTCATGATGACGTAGTAGGTCCCATCCTTGAGAAGGTTGTCCCGTAGTTGTCTACTTTGGCTTCTTGGTCTGGTTATTTGTCACTTGATGTGTATATGTTTCTTCCTTGATTTCAATGATAGCAAGCTCCATGTGTGTGAAGGCTGATGTTTATTGTCATTTTTCTTGTTTTTTCGAGCATGTGGCTGGCTTTTCCTTGGGCTGCCATCATTTTCATATTGGCGTCGAGCTTTGTGTTCAGTTGTCTGAATTGAGACTGAGTTGCAAACTTGACGGAAGTTGAGTCTCACTATTTGTTCCTTGTTGATGATGATCTTCCTTTTGGATTGAGAGATCTCTTACTTCATCTTACTCATCAATTCCTCTTTTCCTTATGGGCATCGTGTCTCAGTGAGCAAAACAGAAAGGATGTTGGTCGAACTTTTATTTGGAGTAATCATTGAATGAGATTTTGAAGGATGGGAATGATATGCTCAAATAATTTTTAAGGCAAAGATGCGAGCCTGCATGTGTGTGTGTGTGTGTGTGTGTGAGAGAGAGAGAGAGAGAGAGAGAGAGAGAGAGAGAGAGAGAGTTCCACTATTTTGGGATCAAACTTTTTTTTAGTTTGCCTCTATGAGAAGAGAACTTCACTCATTTCTAATAAAGCATATCGGTTGTGCTTCTTTTAGCATGCATATTTAATAATTCTTCTTACTCATCAATTCCTCTTTTTCTCGTGGGCACCATGTCTCAGAGAGCAAAACAGAAAGAATGTTGCTCAAACTTTTATTTGGAGTAACCATT